AGATGATCAATAATATTTGTTCCTTCTACCATTCGCAATTGATATAATTGTTTCTTCAGTAACAATTTGTTTGTGAGAGATTTTGACATTTAAATTTTTTCCAATTTTTCCCATATATCCAAAGCAGAAGTTTCATTTAAAAAATTATATTTTACCTCTGGTGCAAGAGATAAACGGATGGTATTCACATCTTTCATCTCAAGTTCCTCCCAGTCCTCCTTTTTCATGTCTACTGGTTTTTTTGCCTTTCTTCAATATTGCTTTGGCTAGTCCTTTTTGCACCATGATGTCTTTAATCATATTTTGCCACAGACTATAGTTGTTTTTCCCATCAAAGGGCTCCAACTCGAATTTGCCAATCGAGATGCCTGTTTTCCATCATCGTACTCAGCATTGGTAATCAAGAACTATGCGCACTTGTTCTTAATTACAATCCTCCTGAACAAACCTGGAGCTCTGATACCACTTGTTGAGAATTAACTTCGCATCAATTTGGTCAGTATAACAATAAGAAAATAAATATGCAGAATAAAGAAAATCAAAACATAACTCACAATACCAAGATTTACGTGGTTCATAATATTTTTGCTTTCGCGTTTTCGAAAAACCAAAAAATAGAGACCAAAATTGTCTTTGATTTGTGGTGAACACTAAAAACAAAAAACATGTTTGGGAGTCTTTAGGGTGGCATGATAGCCCTCAAACAAATTCCTAAACTAATCAAGTGCAATACTGTTACTCAAGGCAAAAACCAACCCTAACCCTAACTACTACTAAAATTAGATCTCACACACACACACAAAAATCTAACACACACACAGAGAAATTAGATGCACACACACAGAAATCACACACACACAGAGACCTAGACATCAAACACACACACAGACCCAAGAATCACACACACACACAAACAAAAAAATCAGATACACACACAGAAGCAACGATGGAGGCAGAAATCATACACTCAAGATCTGAGATCTCTTCATTGCACAGAACAAGACGAGAGAGAGATGCGATGAAGAGAGCCATAGAAGCAGCGATTAAGAGAAGCAACGATGGAGGTAGCGATGGAGAGAAGCACCGATGGAAAGGGATGCATCGATGAAGGCAGCGAAGGAAAAAGAGACAGAGATGGAGAGAGCGAGGAAGTGATGGAGAGAGAAGCAGAGGGAGGTGTTCGTCTGATATAGAGAGAGGAGAGAGAGAGAGAGATGCATAGTTTTTTATACTTCAACTAAAAAAGATGTGTTTTGCTGCTAAAAAGACTTGAAGACTGGATCTCATTAACTCCCCCAGCCCCCCTTGCGCGCTTGTTTCTATTTTAATTATTTTTTGGGTCATCTTTTTTTTGTTTTTTTTTTTGGGCCTTGTCTTCAAAACACCATATTTTATATGAAAGAGAAACACAAACCAAAACACATTTTTGTTTTTGTCTTTTTACAAAAAATGAAAACAAAAATAAAAAACACAAAACAAAAACGCCAACCAAACGCAACCTCACTCCAGATTAATTCCTCCTCTCCTACAACCAGCTTTACCATGAAATAACCCCATTTCCTTTCTCCTCATCCTCCTTTGATCCTCTATAAACATACGAAAAACCCACAGCTGAGACAGCAGATCCATAGCAGATCTCCTCTCCAGCAACCACGAAGTTTCACAGAGCATTACCACTAACTTAACTCACATAACCACACATCCACATTTACAGAACCGTTAATCAAGCTCTTACAAAGTTGTACTTTGAGCTATCTCATAATGGGTCGACTTGTTTTGGCTTTCTTCATTCTAGCTGAGATCTTGTTGGTCCAAGCATTGGCAAATAGATATGAAACTTCAGAACCTTACCCAGCAAAACTTAGGGTTCGAAGCTTGGTTCTGTCGGAAAAGATGGCAATAACAATTGCAGATTCGCTTGTATCAATTGGAGGTGCAGAGTCATCACCACCACCATCAGCGGAGGAGGAGAAGAGAGAGATGCAACAGAAGCTCCGGAAAGCAAAAAAATTAGAAGACACCACTCCACTAATAAGTCAGTGATTGGTGGGGGTTCATCATTGGTGGACTTGTAACTACCATTTTCGCCACAGTTTACTGCTACATTAGGGTTACCAAAGACAAAATGATGATAAGCATTAAGCTATCTGATCACAACATTGAGTTTCTTTAACATTTTACAATTTTTCTAGAAAAGTTGTTTTCAAATGGTTAGAATGATATACTTAGGTTAATCTTCTGGGTGGTTTTTGGAATTTGTTAACATTAATATTATTGGGACATAATTTATGTTGGTTTTGCACAACAAATAATTAATACAATTAATATTTGTTGAAAAATAAGAATTCAAATATAAAAAAAAATAATAAAAAAATGACACAAAGATATAATGTAGTTCGATACAACATACTCATCTTAATACAATATACCTACATTCACGAACCAAAAATCTACATCGATATATCATCATTCACTAAAAAATTGGTCATTTGCTAACTAATTACACAATACTCAACTGTATTTATAGAGATAAAATATTAGAATCCAAACCTATTCAGATACAATTTGATATTTATGTTTCCTATCACATGTATAATATACTTATTTATGGTATATTAAACTCTTTAAATATGTTTCCTATTCCATTTAGGATTCTTACATTAATTGTCCAACAAACTCTCATTCATGATAGTTAGAAAGTTTGAGTCAAATTCAAACAATTTAAATATGTTAATGTAATAGTTAGGTTGTGATTGTTAAATATGATGATGCACAACATAAGTTATGCACAACCAAATCAGTCGAGTGTATGAAACAATGTAATTAATGAAGTAATCAATAGTAAAAGACAAAGATTGGGTGGTTGGGCGTAGGTGACCTAACCACTAAAGGTGACAACAGTAGCCAAAGAACTTTATTGATGAAAGAATAAAGTAGTAGGTGAGGGAGAGAGAGAGCAAGAGCAAAAGTAAGCTCAATGTGTGGTGTGTGTGCGATATCTCTTATATGTAGAGAGTTTATAATTTATAGGCACAGAGCCCTAGTTAAGGCGGTGACGTAAAGGTCAAGCAACAAGTCTTTCGAGGAGGATAGTTACAATTAAGGATATGTGCTATCTTAGAATAATGGCTATCCCGATCAGTGTTATAAAATTCGGTCCGGACCGATGAGTTGACCCGGTGAACCGGTGCCTAAATTGGGCCGGTTCACCTATTGGATCGTTTATACACCAAAATTGGAGTAAATCCAGAGACTTGGAAAAAATCGGTAAAAATCATCACACCGGACGAGTTAATCAAACCGGCTGAGTTTTTCTATTTAGTATAAAAACTGAATTTTGGGGGCCCTTTTTGCATTTTTGCCTTGCTGCTCTAATCGTTCATTCCCTATTCTCCTAATCAGCTCCCTTCTTCACGAACAACCCTCTCTCTCTCTCTCTCTCACACACACACACACACACACACACACAGTCTCATCAATCTCTCAGTCTCTCTCTACTTCTGGTCTCTACAGTAGTGTGAAATGTGCACTAGGAGCACGAAGACTCGAATTAAAGGGGAAGGAACTTTGATCCCTAAACTTCTTCCTTGCGACTTCGATTTTTGAAGGAGAAAGCTACTTCACCTTCACTGCTTCAGAGCTCCATCAATCGAGGCAACCGATCGACGATGACCATCAGGCACTGCAACAGCTATACTACTGACTCGTACTCTCTCTCTCTCTCTTTCTCTCTCTCTCTCTCTCAATCTGTCTCTGTGAGTTGCATTGCATACATTGTGGGTTGCATTGTATACATTGAATTTTGATGTTGATAATTGATAATACTATATTTTCAGAATTATTGGGTTGCATTTTTTTTTGTGGGTTGGAATTTGAAAGGGTTGATCTCAGTTTGGTTTCGGTCTCTCTACTCTATCTAATAGTAACATGTACACTTTATGGGTTGCATTTTTTCTTTTGTGGGTTACAATATTGTGGGGATGTTATTGATACTATAATTTTTTAGGCTTGAAATTGATTATAGATGATGGTTTTTTATGCTGTGAAATGAGATGATGTTGGATTTACTGTCTTATGCATTTTAATTTATACTTTAAAGAGTACAAATTACGTGAATTATGTTTGGATTGAATGATTGATGCATAGTAGGAGACTTAGATTTGAAGTCTTGAAGTTAAATAGAGGTATATTTTTCTACTTACTTTTAGATTTACCAATTGTATTAGAAATTAAATGCATTAGATACATGTTTGATATTTTTTTTCTACTTAATTTTACATGTTTGCAGCTATTGTTATAATTATTGTATTTTTAGCCTATTTATTATTATTTATAATAATTATTTATTTTTTTATTATATGACTGGTTCGACCAGTGACCCAATAGTTGAACTAGTAATTCACTAATCCGGTCCCTCTGCCAGGTTGACGTCTGAGCCTGATTTTAAAACTATGATCCCGATGATTATTCTCCCACATGTACTGACCCTTCCTAGACTCTTGATTTGCGGGCTGAACCAAAGCCATGAACTAGGCCTAACTTATTTGGCGATTTAGACTTAGCCCATCGATTGGGCCCAGGCCTAATTGGTTCTTGGGTTCATCATTTGCCCTCCATGTCCTAAGCCCTTGTGGTCACAGAAAGTTGAGGACATGAGTGAGCTCTCTCATTTGTAGACGTATCTTGTTCCCCACTGTAACTTCTTCAATTTTTCATCCCTTTGCATTTACGAAGCTTCTTTCCTTGTTTGATAACTCCATGGTTGGGCAACTATTGTAGTAGCACCCAATCTCTTTTGTTTGGATTTCTCATTAGATCTAGCAGCCAAAACCCCCCTTTTTCATTTAGGGCATGGCCTATTGGTCAATAAATATGTAAACCGATGAATGGACTATTGATTTTTGCATCATTTTTATTGCTCCCCTTTCTCTCTGGATTGGGCTAAACAACCTTCCTCTCCCCATTTATAGATTGCAGAGAGCTTCATAAAGAAACTGGAGATGGGGATTAGAGAGAGACTGACGAGGACAAGCAAAGCTGCCACAGTGGGATCGCAGGCGAAATCAGGCGTTGGCGATACTTCGGCGAGGCCTGGCGAAGCCCAATCCACAGCGAAACCAGGGGCATCGCCAATCATCAAGGGCGACGTCGGAGACTAAGGGGGCAGCACATATGGAGGGAAAGACGACGCCCAAGGCGCCAGATAAGGAGAAGGCGACGCCCTTGGAGTAAAGAGCGCAGACAATGGCGCTAGGCAGGGAGACGTCACACGTGAGATGGGCAACTTGCGCGACGCCAGACACCAATGCCGGGCGAAGCCAAGCACGGGCTAGGCTGGGCTGGGCGACTGTAAGCGCAGGCCAAGTGCCGCCGGAGACGCGGGTGGAGGCTAGTTGGTGCTAGGGACGCGTTGGATGATGTCAGCGACGCGCTGAGTGACAGGTTTGGTCTTGAAGACGGGTTGGGTGCAGGAGGTGGTGTTGCCCTCGTAGTGGGTGACATGGGGGACGTCCCAAGCACTAGAGAGATGGGTAATGAGAGCAGGAAGTTGGGCTCCGTCGAGCAGGCGTCTGGTGTTGATAGGGATCAGCGAGTAGGCGTGCTGAGTAGTGAATGCAGTATCCTGGGTTTTGCCATGGAGGGGGAATGGAGACACCTTTCGACTAAGTAAGGCAAATCTGCTCACCCCCTTTGTTCCTTCTTTTTTTTGACATTTTCTTGACTATATGCTCCTATCTTTGTAGTTGCCCCATTTGATGAAAGCATGATGGCAAACTCCGTACAGGCTTCTCAGTGAGTCAAAGGAGCCGCTGACAATGATGATTCGAAGGTAACTTCAATTTTTAGTTCCATAGATTGTTATTGTAGTATTGCCAATATTGTGTCCTCTTTTCATATCCTTCCTGCTATTCTGTGCTGCCGGGCCAAGGAGGACAAGCCGGCATGCTTCGACTCTTACAGGGAGATTGTTTTTTATGAGGATGTCCTAGAGACGGGATTGAGGTTTCCTATACCTGGGCCCATCTATCGGATTTTAGGTCACTTGTCGCTTACCCCAAAGAGGTTGACCTCGAATGGCTGGAGGGTAATCTTGGCGCTCTTTTCACTATAGCGGTTGCTTCATGGCGAGGATGTTTCTCCCCCTTTTGAGAAGTTCTTGGCTTCGTATGTACTTTTAGATAATCCCACTCCTCATTAAGGATGGTACCCTTTATTTCGAGGTCGGGCAAACCAATCACTGGACTACTCTTGAACTGTCATAGTTGGAAGTCCAAGTTTTTCTTCGTAGGAGATAAGTGGGCTGCCGAGGAGGATCGTGACTTAATGTCCTTGAGATGGTGTACTCTTCCGAAGACCAAGCTAGGTATGAGTTTTCCCCTTGCTTTTATGTCTGAATGTCATATCCCTCTCATATTCACTGCCTCTTTGGTACTTTTGTAGCTTCACCCATATTATCTGCGGAACAAGAGAGTAGACTCCAAGCTATGAGGGATCATCCTACCAAGTAATTTGCGGCCCTTACGTCTGCGTCGGGTCACTCTAGAGCCTCCCTTAAGTAAAAGAGGAAAGGTATTGATCTTTTCAATAAACTTGATGAGTGTAAACTCTTCTTCTTACGCCAATTCCTCTGATGATAATATTGATAGAGCAATGGTAAAGGTTCTATATGCTTCTAGGGTGGCGTCTTTCCCTCTTTCCAAGAGGGCGAAGCCTGATGCCCCTTGCACTTCTCGACCGATAGAGTCATGATTAGTTGAATGCTTCCATCCCTACATTGGCATGGTTATGATAAATATGGATTGCATAATGAGTTTGTCGCCAGCCATCAAGATTTGTTTGTGATTATGTGGTAGAGGAATCTATGCTGTTTTATGGTTTTATGAAGCTGGTTGCACCTGGGATTCATGGCTGCATTTATGCCTCTCTTGTGTTTCTTGTCTGCTGGACTTTGGCATTCATTATTGCTGCTGCTACAGCTGACTTTCCAGCTGGACTTTCAGCTGGCCTTCTTCCAGCTGGATTTTTAGCTGGCTTTCAGCTGGTCTTATCGCTTTTTATGCCTTTCAGCTGGTCCAGCTTGGGGGTCTTGTCAATCAAGGTTTTATTATGCTGCTGTGGCTTTGATGGGCTGTTTTTTCTCATGGCCCTTTTTCTGCTCGCTGCTGGGGCTTCTGGTTCTTGTTCGACGCTGCACTGGTTTAAAGGTGCTCTTTGGTTCTGCTCAACTGATTTTCAGCTGGACTTCCAGCTGGGCTTTCAGCAGGTTTTTCAGCTGTTTTTCATGTTTTGCGCCATTCAGCAGTTCCTTTGGGCCTTGGCTTATGTAGAAGTTTTTCTTTGTTTTTCTTTTAAAGGTTTAAAGCCAGCTACGGCCTTCCCTTGGCTATTAAGCTTTGCTTCTTTGCTTCTTATAATCTTTGTTTTTATCAATGATATTTGTCTTTTATCAAAAAAAAAAAAAAGATGATTGCGTCAATGAAAGCCTGTTCATTTCTTAATATTGAGAGGACATCCAAACCACTTTAAATTCTTTATCTTTGTAGGAGATATCGAAGTCAAAATTTCTTTAAATATAAAACTTAAAAGATTGAAATGGTTGATAGGATGAAAGTCGAAGTTCAATTCCATATAATGTGCCGGAGTCAAACTTGAGGATGAGTTTTTTTCCAACTCGGGGAGTTTGACACGGGAGTGGCACAAGACAAGCGAAATAGCCCAACTCCTTTTGTTAGTCAAAGCCCGATTCAATTGGAGGAAAACAAAGGTTTAATCAATCTTTAAATTTTGGGTCTATTTCCAATAATAAATTGAGTCTTTTCACATCAACATCAACCGGTATTTTATTTGGAATTTTTTAGAATGAGTTACGACAATTTTGCTAATCAAATAGTGCATAATCTATCTAGTAAATCAGGAATTGTTATTTTAATTTTGTTTAGCCTTATATTGTCTTATGTTTTCCAAGACTCTTTTATAGTTTTCAAGTATTTTTAGGTCTTGGTCAAAGATCTTAAGTATTATTCTTGAAAATGTAAGTTGTCATTACCAGTAGTGCTTGAAGGGGTATTCCATGGTAAGTTGTATAAGAGTATTTAGTTTTGTATTAGCTGAAAAAGTTTGATATTTTTTGAACAAAATTGCAGCCTTTGGCTTACTTGAAGAAAGTTTCCTTCTTGATAAACTCTTATACTTTCAATGGATTTTCAATTGGTGGTGAGTTTCGACTTTGTATTGCTTTGGTGTACTTCTCCGCATTTTTTGGCATCACTCTCATAACCCAGTTACTGTATGAGTTCAAAAGAGCATCAGCAAATCATTTTATAGAAGAATAAAAACATGATTCCATAGGATGACAATACTTAAAGACCATTGAAATGAAGTAATACATAGCAATAATTATACGAAACCACGCCAGCACAACAAATATTCCACATTCAAGAGTCAAGCATTACACCGAAATGGTAAGACTTGAAGTTATTTGATAATTATTATGCTGCTTGACTCAAGAGTCAAGCATTCTATTCACCACTAGTTTAAAGCAATCGGTTGGACTAGTAAGGAAATCAGATGATCCTTTGTCCAACTGTCTGGCACACCATGTCCATCTCCATATTGGTAAAAGCATTGAGCAGTCCGAGCAATATTTGGATTGGCACTTAAAAATGGTTCAGAGAAAGGACAGTGGTTGAGCATATCTCGGTTAATTTTCTTCCATATTTCATGGACTAAATTGTTTATGTATTCACGAGCAACTTCTTCAGATGCACCAGTTTCATTCATGTAACACTGAACAGCCTTGAGGATATCTCCTCTGGCCAACTCGTCCTACACATATCTCATGTTAATGTGTGACTTTAATAAAATAATATAATCATTGATAATGCATGTCAATTTTTTATCTTGGTTGTGAAACATACCGATGATGTTCCCAAATCATTGGCAAGTCGAAGAAGCAAGCTGGCGGAACGCATGATACTTGGAAGCTCATCTAGATGATCCAATGCCTCCTTAGTGATTTTATCTGTGGTTAGGAAGTAACTACATAATAGCATGAGAGGCGCTGCTATGGAAACCTTTGCATTTTCAAGATATTCTTCCAACGTAGGCTTGTATCCACCATAGTACCACTTTGCTTCCTTCAAGTATGCTTTACAGAGATCTGCCCACTAACACAATAGAAACTTTTTGCAGTAAATTTTCAGTTACCAAAACTAAAGGAAAGCAACGTAACCTGTTTCCATGAATTGTATTAGTTGATTGTTGAGCTGAATATGTGATGCACATTCTATTGATCAAATTTAGGCCTCTCAATGGATTAGATTTTGATCCGAATTCAAATCAGATCATAATCGGAACATTTGGATTTATTTATATCCGTTCCGATTATGATCCGATCTGAATTATGTATATATTTTTATATAAATATTAAAGAAATTAAGTGATTATTTAAAGACATTTTTTGTTGAAATTTACGTATAATTTGTTAAAATTTAATTAATTAATTTATTCAGCTCGATCGGATTTCGAATTGTTAACAGATTCAGATGTGGACTAGGAAAAAAAAATTCGTCAAGTTACCGGATCGGATTCGGACAGGCCATTTGAATTCGAATCAATTAGAATCCAATCCAAATTCGATTCGTTGACAATCCTAAATTCAACTCTCTTTGATTCTCTCTAGACTGCCATGAAATTATATTTAGAATAAGAAGTTTTGATTTATTAATCATGACATAATTCATATATGATTTTTTTTTTCATATAGACAAATAGTTGATCAGATTTTTTATCAGCAATGAAAAAAAAAACAGTAAATATGATTAAAAATGCAACTATGAGCTTTTACCGCTTCGCTTAGATAAGGGATGATGTTGAAGCTTCGCTCTTTCAGTGTCCAATACCCAATTTCATTGCTAGTATTATACATGGCAAGAAGGCATGTTTTTATGTTCTGGGGAAGCTTGTCAATTTCATTAATATCCCATCTGAAGGTTTTAGAGAAAAAAATTATAGAACTAATTAGCAAAAAGAAGAGAAATGAAAAACAAACTACTGTTTAGTAGTTATTAAAGATTTTACGTATGCAAATCTAATAAAAAAAAAGTACAAATCTCCTTATAAAGCAAACCTGTCAACAAAATCTGTAAAAAGTTCGATTTCTTCCATTGTGCCATAGAGATCATATACATCATCTATAGTAGTAATTAAGCATATTATCTTCGTTGCCATAAGTCGAAAGGGTATATACTGTGGTTCAAATAGGATACCATTGCACCAAAAGTAGTGTTCTACAAGTCTGTCTCTGGCAAAGCTGATCTTGTCCAAGCCCATATCCACCCACCAGCTGAGAATTTAAGAATTTACGATCAATTCATTAAATTAAATGGAAACGAATTTAAAAAATATTCATGGAAATGGCATGCAAATGAAAAGTAATTTCATGTGATCAACAACCAATGCCATTATTGTGAAACAGATGCATTTCTTGAATACAAAACTAGGCTTCTACCTTGCTAACTTGCTAACTTCTTTCTGATGAATGGCTTGCACTATGTTGTACTCCAACTTAGCCAGCAGTAACAAAGGTGGGTTCATGTTTTGTTCTTGCTCATATGCATCGATGAACCATCTAGCTTCCACTCTTGTCAATCTCCAATGCAAAGGCATATCCAAAGCATGAACTACTTTTCTGGACATGCTTGGCGGTATGTCTCTGATGATACCTTTCAAATGTGTCGTCGTAAAAGCCTTGGCCTGATCAATGATATCTTCACCTTCTAGACCAAAGAAAGAGGCTTCGTACAAATTCAATAGCCCCTCCACATCCTCAAAAAGATTTCTCTTGAAATTACTTGTCTCGTCCCTAAACCTTTCAAACACACCTATTTCCAACAAAAGTTATAGAAAACATTATTTCTTAACCCAACTTAATTATTTCTTTTGTATAGCTAACCTATATGCCATAAATCATGATGATTTCTATCTGGCTCTTTAGAGTTAGCAACTACAATCACTCAAGGAAGGGAACATTGTTTTACCAAGCAGTATAATTGTGAAAGCTAGATGAGAAATCTGAGGCATAAGGAATTGTGACTGGAATTGAAAGTGTCAATCAATAGGTGATGACTTCTTCAATTTCATTGCATGCTAGCACTTCATTAACTTTTATAGTTGAAGTCTAGATATGCTTGATCTTGACACTTATTCCTTTTTATCCTTTTGGAAAGTGAAATTACAATATATTATTTTACTATGGGGATGGAGGATCTTCTATTCTCTTGTTTCAAAAATCATCCATCCCTTTGGAAACATTTGTGTACACGAATTTTTTGTTCTATTTTTATGGAATTGATCTTACTATCCAAATGTTCAAACATCTCTTGCTAAAAAAATATTTAAAATAGGACGCTTTGATCCACTCATCTTTCATACTACACACTGCCGCAAATCCACTCATCCTTTATTTGGATGTAGCAGCGACATAAGATCACTCCTCTTAGATGAATCTATTTTACCTTATTTTGCCATCTCAGCGATTACAAATCAAAGGTTTTGTTTTTCACTGTTTTATGCAACTTCTATATTTAGGATATTGTAGGATGGGCTAATCTGATGTATTCAAACATTGATTAAAAGAACACAAACATTCATACGTACGATGGCGTAGATGCGGAAAAAATACCAAAAACAAATAAGACACATAAAAAAATAAACAGGCTTGCTTTAGTAGATCTAATTAATTGCGTGATTGAGACAAATAGAGTAAAATATGTGAAGATAATAGGTATTAATTTTTATTTCTTTATCTTTTCGGTTATATTAGGTAATATAAGTTAATAAACTGTTAAATATTTACCTTGGGGTACATTATAACCATGTTGTCTCAGGAGCCTAAATCGGAGGGCTATTGCAAATAGATCATCACTTAACCATGCAATATTACTATCTTTATATATGATATCTAGTGCTTTTTTGATCTCGGTCTCAAATAGATACTTTAATCCCAGTCTTTGAATAACGTCGATCAACTCAAGCTTAGCCAACGGGTCCATCACCCCATTAATGAGGCACTTTACGTCATCTTTTAGCTTATCAACTTGTCTCACATATTTCTCTTCCTGCAGGTCAGTAATAGATATAAGTAAATAATAAACTTCAATAAAGCCAAAATTTTCAATCGAGGTTAAAATAAATAGCAAAATGTGTGTTTTCAAGATACGTTGTAATCACTAGTAAGTGATTGAACAAAATCATAGTCCCAGACACTTTGCAGGTAATTTGCTGATCGTCTAGTAATTGTGTGATCATCAACAGTTATAACATTTGCAACACAACGAGTAGATTTAGAGTTACGAAGGGTAACAGGAATTTTTGATGAATGAAGAGGGAAGAGGAGGGTTGTAGAGACAAGGAAAGGTGAGAAGAGAGCTTGCAGAGCCATTCCTCTTCTTTAGCTACTAGTAGTTCAAGTCTACACAATCTTCCATGAGTGTAAGTTGGAGGACAACATCTATATATACAACCTCAAAGTAGTTGCATCGTGAAACAAAGGATCCACTTGGTCTAAACATGTTTGATGCCATTGGATTCAATTACGAAAGTGCCCCTAATGGTTTCTGCAATTTACAATATCAAAGTTGTGTATATTATGACTAGTGCAGGGCTAAGAATGACAAATATCTTACAAGATATTGTAGAAAAAGATGTCTAAATAATTAATTTGCATTTTAGGAAGGTTGTTGTATTATTAAAAGTTATTTAATGATATAATATTTTTTAATATACTATTCCCAACTACTTTGGGTAGCTTGAAAATTATTTTATTTGTTGATTTTTGTAAAATTCAATAATATTTTGATTGGAATAAACATTTTTTTTATAAGTTTGAGTTCTTTAGATTTGATTTGAGTTTATTGAGAATTTATTTATATTGTTAATTGTAATACAAAACACCATTTAAGTCTCTAATATTTAGCTTAAGTTTTATTATTTATATTATTTTTTCTTTTCATTTATTGTTCTAAGATTAAATCTAATAAAATTATGTCATACCATTATATTAGGTATACCACTTTGTTCGAATTAACTATACTATCGATTGGAAAAAAAATATATTAACAATACTTGAATACAAAAATCTAATAAAAATTTTTGCATCCCAAAAAGCAATAATATAAATAATATTGCATAATGATTTAAATTTTAAAAATTTATGTTAAAATTTTCACTTTAAGCCTTGTTTTGTGTCGGACCGCCCCTGTGTCACATGAACGCAATACACGATAAATATCTGGTATTTCAATGTCTTGAAGTATGGAAGTTATAATTGATA